GGTGCTCCCAGCTCATTCTTCAAGCACACCTGGCCCCGTCTGCCCTAGGCATTATATATTGCCCAGCCTCCTCAGAGAGGACCCCACGCACAGTAGGTCTTCAACAACAGCCTCGATGATAAGCTCCACACTCAGGGATTCTGTTGCACCCTCCCCAGCCAGGGTCCCCCACTTCTGTGCTGAGCCCCAGCACCTTTCTTTTAAACAGCCCTCACAGATCCTAGAAACTACTGCTAGTAGATGGCAGGGGAACTGGGCAGAGCTACAACTCCTCCCAGAATAGGCCAGAAATTGGAAATAGGCTTTGTGAGACTGCACAGCTTGGCATTTAACATGGTGAGCTCCTGCTCCTCCCCTTGGAGCTCAGAGCCCCCAGCCAAGAGGCTGGTTGTTCCTTGGTAGTTCTGAGGGGGAGTTTTTTTGGCTGAAATCCCAGTACCCACATTACTGGTGGTGGTCTTGGGCAATCTCATCAACACACAAAGGCCTCCATTGCCTCATCTGTAAGATAGGCCTGTGCTAGCCCATCTCTCTCACAGGGTTTATATGAGACGGTGTGAGAAATTCCATAAATGGTGCAAGCATTGCATAAATGACAGCTGTTATTGTGAGTGGTTGAGGCAGAAACCCCAGCGTGACAGCAGCTTCCTAGACAGGCCTCTCTGGACCAATCAAGAAGGGACCTTCCTGATAAGCTAGTGTCTTTGTGGAAAAAGGCCACACACAATCCAAGGAATGAAAACGCCCACCAGGAAGGTGTCCCCACAGCACACAGAAGCAGTCAGCAGAGTAGAAAGCAGAGTGCAAGGTGCTTCCTTGACCCCAGCCTAGGATTTATGTCTTCCAACCCATCGGAGGGGATTCTGGTCCCCTCGGCTTGGGGGAATTCAAGGCACAGGTCACGAGTCTCCCTTGCAGGTCCATGGAGGAGAATGAAGACTGGAGCTAACAAGAGAGGGCTGGGAGTGGAACACAAAGGAAACCTCTGCTCCGGAGGTACCCTGTCGTTGAGCTGCGGCCCAGCCCCCACCTGCCTGCCGCCAGCCCGCCGTGGCCTGCTCTGGCATGGCTCTGGGGGGCGCGGTGCCAACCCCTGAGCTCTCCCCCCACCATGTCCTTTTGCTGCTTCCAAAATAACTCTCTGCTCACTGCCCAAGTTTGGCCTCTCGGGTATTTTTCTCCTCCTGGGACCTGTTCTCCCACGTCTGAAGGGTAGAGGGAGAGACCTCCATTGTTGTTAGAGACCAGGGACCACCCCCTTTTTACAATGGATTATTTAGCACAAAAGGGCTCCTACAATTCTGAGAGCCCCTAAGTCAATAAGTGCATTTCACTTGGCTCAAAAATGTTATTTCCAGTAGGAGGAGGGAGCTGGAAATTTCTTCCCCACCTCCATCTCCTGTACCTTCGAAAGGTGTCCAACGTCTTGAACAACAGCATGTCCTTGGTCCTGCTCCCAACAGAAGGAGGTACTAGCCTAAGGTCACATGGCCCACTAGGGATGAACTCAAAAAAAGATCCTTGTGGGCCCTTGGGTATGCCCAGGGCAGAATCGAGCTTGGTCTCCAGAACTGCCTGTCCTTGCACTGTAAGGGAGGAAAGACTCATTCCGAGGAGCTTCATTTCTGGGGAGAAGCTGGGCATTCAGATGGCACTGACCTGGAAGCCCAGACTTCCGCTTTGGAGAGGCACCGGGCCTGGCCACATCTCCTTTGGGTGTCCTGTAAGGAGGGTCACTTCCTCCATCAGCCCAGCCCAGGAGCCTGAGAGCAGACTGGCTCTTTGAAAGGCCATTTCCCTGAAGGTCAGCAGGAGGGGCCTTTATTAATGATAAAGGGGGAGAGGGAGGAAGGAAAAGTCACCAGGTGGGACCTAGAAGGTGAGGCTTTGGCACCCCAGGCCCTGCTGTTCCCTTCCTGGGTCTCCTCACCCTTTTGTAGTTAGGGACACTGAGAAAAAACTAAAAACAAAAACAAAATAAAAAAAAACAAACACTCCCAACAGCCAGCGTTCCTAAGCACTTGCAGCACAAAGGGCCAGCTTTGCTTGCTTCATCTCATTTTGCTCCTCCTCACCATCCCGCCAGGTAGATAAGTTAGTGTTTCCATTTGAAAGATGTAGCAACTGAAACTGGAACGCTGGACTGATTTTTCCCAAAGACACAGCAGCACACCCAGGGCAGAGCCAGGACTCGAGCCCTCGCACCACGCTCCAGAGCCCGGCCGGGTGCTCACCTGGATGCCCTCCCTGTTCCCTGCCCGTCCCTGTCCCTGGTGGGCCCAGGTCAGCGGGGGGGAGCAGCTGCAGCATGTGTGGGGCCATCAGGGTTGAGAGCCCGCGGAGGGGAAGGCGGGGTGGAGTGGGGTGGGCCAGGGGCCAACTCCGCTCTGAGCCAGGCTTTCTTCTCCCCCGCCAGCCGCCCCACCCGGCCGCGCCCGTGCCCGCTGCCAGAGCCGAGAGGTTTCCTTTTTCTTTTGCCTAGGGCTGTTTCCTGCCTTTCCTTTGAACTGGGGTGTTGGCTCCCCACACACTCACTCTCCTCCAGTGACCCCCTGGGGGGAGAGTCTGCCCTCTGACGGGCCTGTCCCTTCAGGGAGGTACCAGAGAACCCCATTTCCTGGAATCACGCCGGTCCTCCTTGCCTTCTTTCTGCTCGGGTCTGGGTGCTCGCTGGACCCCTTTCCTCTGGCCAGCAGCCAACTAGGTCGGGGGTGGGGGGATCTCTATCCTACCAGCAGCAGGTGATTCCCAGAGATTTCTCCCTACTTCTCCTCCTTTCTAGTTTTTAACCAAATGAAGGGACACTTGCACGGCATCTCCTAGCAAATGAGGAACCAAGGGTTAGAACTCACAACCCCTGAGTTTCCAGCAGAAGGGGCAGGCTCGTACGGCCCATTAGAAAGGCACCCAAGCTGGCAGAAAACGAGCCCCAGGCGAAAGCAAAGCCCAGCATGCCGACCCCACCTGCATCTCCCCAGCGCAGCCAATGCTCCCCACTTCCTCATACAGGACCCCATCTGGGACATGTTGGGGAGCAGGCTGGGGTCTTCTATCAGTCCCTCCCTTCCCCCTCCAGAAAGCCCTAAGACTATCTGCAAGGGAAAAGACCTAAGGCCACTCAGGGTCCTGAGCACAGCTCATGCTGTCTGTCTCCACTCTCCTGTCACAGGCCCCTGCAGGTGCACACCCTTCGTAGGGCGGAAAGCTCCTCTCCTCCGAGAGGCAGCTCCAGGACGGCCACCTGGGGAGGCTTCATGACTAATGCCTGCAGGCCGGGTTCCCTAATAACAGCACTGGCTCACACTTCAGCCCACGCCAAACCCTCTACACACGCTCCTCAGTGAATCCGCTCGGCAGCCTTTGGAGCCACCTATTACTTCCATTATAGATGCGGAAACTGAGTCACAGGGGGGCGAAGGAACTGGCATAATGACACTGAAGCTTGACTTTTTTTTTCCCAGAGACTGGGTCTCACTATGTATAGTTCAGGCTCATCTTGAACTCACAGCAATCCTCCTGCCTCAGCCTCCCGAGTGCTGGGATTACAGGCATGTGACACCACACCGGGTGATGCCTGACTCTTAAGACTCAACCCGACCCCTTCTTGTCCTCCAACATCTTGCCTCCATCGTTTTGGTTAAAGACATCCGGAGCAGCAATGAGGAGGCCGCAGGTTACCCTGAATCTACTCACGTGCACATACACCAATCTTTCACGCGAGTCCTAGTCCGAATTCCTAAGAAAGCACTGAGGGCGGGAGGGTAGGAAGCTAATGTATGCAGCGGAGGCCTCTCCCTTTCGCCCATCCTGGCAGCCATGGGTGAAGGAAACGGGTGCTGAGGGTGACTGCAAGTGCGTGAGCCTGAGAGCTTCTCTAGCTGGCTGCCCACAAGCTTTTCCTCTCCCGCTTGAGAAAAGGCTGGGTTGTATTTGCCCAGCAAATATTTGCTGTCTGTATATCCCTGTCTCCCCGTGGCGTGCATGCATGGAGGAATAGAGCAAGGGGCACTGGGCCTTCTCTTCACCGTCAGATCATCAGATCGGAGCCCCCCAAAGCCCACGGCCCCAACCCCTCCCAGTCCATTCCCCAAACAGCCTTATCCAGGGAGGAGGCACAGGACAGAGCCAGTCTCACTGAGCTTCCTAGGAGAGGAGATTTTC